CTGTAATTCTCTTTCTTGGTTGTGTCTTTGTGTGGTTTTGGTATTAGAAAAGTATCTCTTACCACTACATTGCTAGATCATCATAATTTCTTATGAAGTTCTAAAACTTATTTTATACAGACACATAAGGGTTAGCACCCTCATTCCAAGGGTGGTACTCATTACAGTAAACGGAGACCATCACTACTGTAAACAAGAAGCCACAACTGTAAACACCAAAGCAGGATGCCCAACCCCACTGAATAGATTTACATGCAGCCCCTGCATCTTCATCTGAGGGAACATAGCAGAAGAGAGATTGGAACGAATGTAAGAGCCAAATACCAGGAAGTCTTCTGTGAACATTTCTTCTAGAAATAGCTTCATAAACAAGACCAGAAAAATGGCACTATCGACAGACATGTTAAGAACATATACACATTAGAGTTCTACTCAGTGGTAAAAAATAATGACAACTTGAATTTTGCATACAAATGGATGGAAATAGAAAACACTTTACTGAGTGAGATAACCCAGACCCAAAAGATAACAGGGTATGTACTCACATTAGTGGATTCTAGCCATAAACAAAGGACATTGAGCCTATAGTTTGTGATTCTAGAGAAGCTAAATAATAAGTTGAAACCAAAGAAAACATATTTTTCCTTCCGGAAATTGGAAGTAGATAAAATCATCAGGCAAATGTTGGGAACACAGAGATTGGGGGTGGGGAGAAGGGGAGAGGTGGAGAGAGAAGGGAGAAGAGGAGGATTGGGGAGAGTTGGGGGAGTGGTATGGTTGAGATGAAGGAAGGGTGGATATAGGAACAGGGAAGTAAATATCTTAATTAAGGGAGCCTTTTAATGGTTGGCAAGAGGCTTGCTATGGAGGGGTTCCCAGGTGTCCAAGGGGATGTCCGCAGCTAAGTCCTTGGGCAGCAGAGGAGAGGGTGCTTGAAGTGGCCTTCTCCCATAGCCACACTGATGAATATCTTCCATATCACCATAGAACTTTCATCCAGCATTGGATGGAGATAGTGACAGAGACCCACATTGGAGCACTAGACTGAGCTCTCTAGGTCCAGATGAAGAGCAGAAGGAGGGAGAGGATGAACAAAGAAGTCAGGACTGCAAGGGGTGCGCCCACCCTCTGAGACAGTGTAACTGATCTAATGAGAGCTCACCAAGGGCACCTGGACTGGGAAAGAACGAGAATGTGATCAAACTGGACTCTCTGAATGTGGCTGAAAATGGGGTCTGACTTGGAAGCCAATGCTAATGGCACTGGGTCTTGATTCTACTGCATGGACAGGCCTTTTGGCAGCCTAGTCTGTTTGGATGCACACCTTCCTAGACCTGGATGGAGAGGGGAGCACCTTGGACTTCTCACTGGGCAGGGAACTCTGACTTCTCTTAGGACTAGAGAGAGAGAGGGTAATGGAATGGGGGAAGTGTGAGGAAGATGAAGGAGGTGAGGTGAGGAGGTGGAATTTTTTTTTTAAAAAAGAACTTAGACAACATTGAGTACCCAAAGAGAACACACATAGATCTAATTTACGTGGGAAGTGGAAAAAGACAAGATCTCCAATAAATTGGGAGCATGGGGACCTTGGAGGAAGCTTGAAGGGGAGGCGAGAAGCCGGGAGGCAGGCAGAGAAAAATATGGAGCACAATAAAAAACAATAAAAAATAATCAGAAAGAATAACAGGAAAATATTTCACAGGGTCCCATGTCTAGGAAAAGAACTACAGAAAACTAACGACTGCTGGCAAAAGGAAAAACAACATCTCCTAGGAACTGATCCCTTACTGGCTTTCCAGTGCAGAGAGGCCAGACTTGAAACGATAAACACACAAATACCAAAATCAGGGTCAGCAAGAAATATGTGTTTGTGTGTGTGTGTATGTGTGTGTGTGTGTGTGTGTGTGTGTGTGTGTGTGTGTATGTTTGTATGTGTGTGTCTGTGTCTCTGTGTGTATTGTACAAGCAATAACAAAAGAAACAGGAGACTATCAAGTTAAGAGTGGAAAATAATTGGAGGATTTAAAGGGAGGGCAGTTGGGATGGAATCTATGTAGGAAAAGGAGAGAAAGAGATGTAATTCTATTTCAATTAAAACATAACAAAATTCCATAAACAACAAATAATAATATAAAGAACCACTGCTTTAGTGGGGATTTTCTAGCCTTAACTGTACAAGTATGTTTTTCCAGTTCTATGATTGGAGTCATTTCATTCCATGGGTTTATATGTTGAAGCTTATTCCCCAGTGTGGCAAAGATGAGGGATGGTGGCATTTTTAAGAGATAGACACCCCTAGAAGGCCACCCTCTGATTGCAAGTGCTGACCTCAAAAGGGATCAAAGCTGATTTAGTGGGACCATTCTCATGGATACATGAACATAATTGACTGAGAACAAGGTTAAACCTGTCTTCCTTGTCTGGCTCTTGTTTACCCCACGCTGTCTCATCCATGTTCCCGACATGACACCATTTGAAATGATGCAAAATAATCAAGGTTAAAATGATCAGAGCTAAACTGATAGACTACTTTTATCCTTCCAAACTTCAAAATGGTGAGCAACAGAAAATAATCTAGCATATGTAGTTATCATAGCACACTAGGGTTTGGGGATGCAGTACAAGTTTGTGTAGTCTCAGCATCTCTGTTCATCCCTAAAATATTTTTGAAAGTAAAATTTTGTCGGATAAAAACAGATGAGGGCTAGGCACATGTCATTTTGTCAGTTACGTCATGAGCCTCAGAAATCTGACATCACAGTGCTCAGTCACCTTGACTACTGCAGACTCCTCAGACTTCAGTAGTTGGTCTGCCAACTGCTGTGGCTATCTGTGGTGTTTAGTGCCAAGGAGAAAAAAAAAGAGAATTTCAAGTCCATTGAAAGGCTATCCCTTCCAGGCTCTGCTGAAAAGGTATTCTTCTAATATCCACTTTGATCCTTAGAATGGACTGGTGTTCTCAGGAGATGTCCTATCTTGATCCTTCCAGATTATGTGAAGTAATTCTTATACTTCAGCTCCAGCTTCACAGAAGGCTACTTAGAATAATAATGTTAAGTGCTGTCACCTAAAGAAAGGAGACATTACATGTCAGGGGACGAATGCTCTGAACTACATGGGAAGGAAATGTCTGCAATTCTCTTAAAATGGCTGTTGGAGTTGTGGGGAGTTTTCATGTTCTGCTCAGTCCAGTTGTTTTAACTATTTTGACCACAGACCAGTGAACTGGAGAGTGGGCACATTTCATCCACAGTTCTACAAAATCTCTGGCTTTTAGAAATCTTTTGATGTTTCCAAATTTATTTGTTGTTCTTCAGTACCTATTTTCCAAAATATGAGCAATCTTTATGGCAGGAATGACATTACAAGAAATCAAATTCACTCTAATTATGTCACTAAATTGGAGCTACTTCTTTTCACACCTTCTCAATGTTCTCAGCTTGAGGGAAAACTATTGTTTTCTCACCCCTCCTTTTCCCTTTTCTTTCAGTCCTTGCTCAGTAAATGTATTATATTTATGTGAGTCTTTCTTGAAGAATGGAGCATAGGAAATTAGTTAAATGTGTATGTATATCCTCCATATATATATGCATATATACATACACACATACATACACACACACACACACACATATATATATATATATATGCTGGTGTGTATAAAGACATAAACATACTATATAGGTAGCTACACTGCATAGATTAATGGTATCTTTAATGTAGTAATTCATACTCCTCAAAGTTGTGTATGAATGTATGTTTTCATTCACCGATTTTAATGATTTCTGCAAATTTGCAAATCATTACTAATAAAGAATTTTCCTAGTTCAAACTCTTTCTTGGCCCTGTAGAACTTAAATTACTCTGACAGTTTACACAGACATTAGTGCTTCAGCACTTGGAAACAGTAGACTGACCTTATACTCCACACTCTAGCAGTTGCTCATTTTCCTGCTGCCACCAAGAGTGGCAAGGTGGTTTTTTTGTTTTGTTTTTGTCTTATGGGAAGGGATCTAAGTACTATTAGAATTGTTTTTATTTTTTTAAGCAGAACTACTTTTCTCCAGTAAAAATTGTTAATTTTAAATAGTATAATGACAATTATTCATAGGAAAGTAACAATGTGACTCGTGTTTTTCTAGTGCCCTCTGTTTTGTAGTCTTCTCAATATTTTATATCATTATAATGTTTTTAAATGAATTCTCTGCTTTAATCTATTAGAGAAAATAGATTTTTAAAATATAATATATCCTGATTATGGTTTTCCCTTCCTCTTTTCCTCACAACTTCTTCTCACCTCCCCTCTCATTCTGATCTACTCCCTCTCTCTTGCTCAATAGAATATAAGCAGACTTCTAAGGGATGATAATAAAATAAAAGAAAAAAAACTTAAAAGAAAAGCTAGTTTATTGGAACTTGAAAAAAAACCCAAAACAAACAGACCAGCAAATAGTAGGAAAATAGTTAAGAAAAGGCCCAAGAATCAGAGACCCACTTGTTTGCACACTCAGAAATCATATAAAACACTAAGGTGGAAGTCATAGTTTATATGCAAAGGACCTGGTAGAACCAGTGCAGGCCGTATATGCTGGCTCAGTCACTGTGAGCTCAGATGCGCATTGGTCATGTTGATTTAGAAGGTCTTGTTCTCTTGGTGTCCTTCAATCCTCTGGCTCTTACACCCTCTCTGCCTCTTCTGCAGGATTTCCTGTTCCCTGAAAGGACAGTTTTGATGGAGACCTCTTTCTTAGGGCTGAGTGTTCCAAGTCTCTCAATCTCATTCTATCGTCTGTGTGTGTGTGTTTGTTCTAATTTTCTGTAGGGGGAAGCTTCTCTGGTGGCAGCTGGACAAGGAATTTATCTGATAGCATAGCATATTTCATTAGGAAACATTTTATTGCTACATTATTTTATTATAACAGCAGTATTGGGTTCTCCCCTTGGTCCTGGGCTACCTGGTGTCAGGTTCTTGTTCACACTGACTGCGATGGTTATGGATTACATATTATGGAATTGGCCTTAAGTCAAATCAAATACTGGTTGTTTACTCCCACAAGCTTTGTGCTTTGTATCATTGCAGGCAGGACACCACCGCAGATTAAAGGTTGATAGCTGACTTGGTGTTTACATTTATCTTTGGGTAGTGTGAATAAAGATGTTAGACTGAAGGAATGAAAGTTCTGTGTAGGCATCAGCTCAACTTCTGTATCTTCAATGAGCTGTGTAGGTGTTTCCCTCAACTATGCGGCCTTGTCATCAGTTTGAAGAGAGAAACCTAGAACCTTGGCAAAACTTGGGTCACTTGGAGATTCCAATGGGAACATGGCAATCCTCTGGACAACAACTCAGTGAGATGCAACTGATTATGGTACAGGAAGCTTTATTTCGTGACAATATATGGACAGTTGAATCTTCTTTGCCTCTATTGTCTGGCAGTTGCATTTAGATAATGAAGCCTCTACTGCGTTCAGCTTCCATCCTACCCATAAAATGGCCCTCAGCTTTAGCAGCCTCTCCCTATATTCCCTCCATGTCTCCCACTCCCACCGCCCTCCCATATGATCCTCTAATTTAAGCCCCCACCATCAATTCATAGCTAACTGTTTTCCTTTACCCTGGCATCTGTTCCCACACCCTCTTAATCTATACTTAACTCAGTGAAGATATCAGATACTGTATTGAACACATACGGAGAAAGTGGACAAGTTTAAATTGTTCATGTTTTTAGTGGAATTGCTTTGAATTTCTCTTCATTTAAGGTGTTGGCCTTGAACTTCCTGTAAACTGCCATTAGTATGTTGAGGAATGGTTCTTTGTATCCCTAATCTGCCCAGGACTTTTATCATGAAGAGGACTTGGATTCTGGCAAAGTCCTTTTGTACATCTAATGAGAAGATTATATGACTTTTTCCAGTTTGTTTATATGGTAGACTACACTATTAATATCCATATGTTAATCATCCCTGCATTTCTGGAATGAAGCCTTCTTGGTCATGGGGGATAAACTTTTGGTTATGTTCTTGGATTCAGTTAGCAAATATTTTATTGAGTATTGTTGCAATTATGTTCAAAAGGAAAATTGTACTGCAATTCTTTTTCTTCTTTGGGTCTTTATGTTGTTTGGGTATCAGAGTGTGACCTCATAAAACAAATTGAGCTCTCCCTTCATTGATTTTTAATGTAAGAATGTTATTCACAGAATACCATTATTGTCACATTTCTATCAAATTGCTTTGATTACATATGTAATGCCATAATTTTAAAACTCTGTGTGCTGTACAGTCATATGCACAATTCTAACATGGATATATCAGTTATCAAAGACACAAAATACTTAGATCTTCCTCAAGCCTTAATTACCTGCTTCTAAGGTTGTTTATCTATAGTAACTTTACAATTATTATTGCTGCCAATATGAATTTTTGATACTTCATACATTCTCTAAGGAAATAATGCTTCAATTTAGTCATCCTATTTCACTTTAAATAGCTCCTTAACCAAGTCTTTGGTACCCAAAATTCTTCATGTGGGTATCAATTTCTTTAAAGTAAGGTAAGTTGTGTTCTTCAAAATTCTTTCACATTTTCAAAAACTTATTTTCTGCTGTTCCACATTGTTGGCATCTGATGCAGCAGCACAAGGTCACCTCCATGGGCTATGCAGATGAACTACCTGTGTAACAATTGTTAGAATCTTAGTCACTGAAAACAACACCGATAAGCTTCAATTCTATCTGCAGTAAGCACGGGTGGACTTCCTAGTTCCTATACTCAGGTGGAACAGGTAGATCAAGGATATGATAGGCTGCATTCTTCCCTGGAGACTCAGAAAGCTTTAATTATTGGTTCTTTCAGAGTTTGACTAAATTTGATTATTGCAGAGAGGGTGGTCACCTGAGGACTGTAGTTTTCTCAGGGAAGTTGTATTTCTTCACGGTCTTTCCATTCCACTTCAGTCACCACCACAATGTTAATACCACTGTTCTTAAAATCTGACTTTTTCTAGAGTAACAGGTGTCTGACTCTACCTGAGTAGATCTCTATGATTTATACTATCTTAACTGATGAGAACGGAGCTGATGGGTTTCAGGATCACAATGCCAGTAACATCTGCATGATGTCTGTCCCAACTGATATATTCATAGTTTCAAAGAATCAGGGATTTGGGATCATTAATGAAATTTCTACATTTTATGGTCTTTTACACTAGTATTCCCATCATTCCACCGATACTGTTCTCTTTGGCTTAATGTTCTCAATGACTTACATGTTGCTAATCCATTGGCCAGTTCTCAAGTGTTATGATTGGACTTAATGTATTTTTGACACAACTATTGCACACTATCTGTAGTATGGTCATTTCTCTTCTCTCAGTGTGTTTGATGATTATTTTACCTCCAAGCTATATTATTCTTCAAATTCCAGATCTTCAATCTGTCCTTAGTACAGTTTCCTAAATGTACTCATGTATTCTGTATCTTTTAAAACTGTTATGCTATGGAGCCCTGCTATAAGAACTGAGCCTTCATGGTTAATTTCATGTAACTCCCCAATCTTTGTGTTAGGTTATTTTGTTGACTATTGACTCTCTATTCTGTTAGTGTTTGGCCTGTACCAGGAAAAGCCTCTGTACTGCAATGGAATCTGTCAATGAGAAAGCCTCAACTGGGGAGATGAATATTCAATACCTGGTGTCCCATGGACCAGTGGAGCTCAGACGAGGCTGTAGCAGTAAGAAGTGTCATCAGCATTTGCACAGAGACTTCTTGGTTGTGACCAATAGTCGGTATGTATTTTCTTCATATTTTACTGATGCCAAGGATTGTATTGTCTCCAGCTCTTACTGTACAACAAATCAAAAAGATGTTTATCCTTCTGTGCTTACAAGTGTTTTTGTTCCTATTCATTCAACATTGTGTTGAGGTCCTATTCTGTCCTGTGCTCCTGTAGAAAATCCAGTCAAGAATCTACTGGAGCATTAGTAATTAGGGAAAATGTCAGTAATCCTACCACTTAGGAATGTTATTGTCATAGTCAGGTAGATCTAGTTATTAAGAGAAAGAAACACAGTGGGCATCCTATGAACAACTGTTTTGTAAAATGTCATGGTATGGTACTTTTTATATATCTCCAAGGTAGCTGTAGATTTATTGGGAACAAGTGTATGTAATTTGTCCTCTTACCTAAACATGCAGTATCAATAAAAAGACTGATTATCCTGGGAAGAAAAGGAAGCCAAGACTTTATAAAGGAGAGTCATTTTTCTTAGTGGTGATCCCAAATAGAAACTTTAGGAGAGAGAAGATGAACCAGAGAGGCCCAGAAGTTCTGAGCTGTGCTTGACTATTAGATTGTCTGATTCTACCCATGTCTGAGCTGCTCTGGGCTATTAGCCATTATGGTATTTCCTATTATAGAAACTAGATCAGGTGATGTTATTTGAAGACTAAATATTTTCAAAGGATTTTCATTAGAGGCAATTGCCCATGAAGCACTTAAGAACAGAATTATGACCTTGGCTTTAAATCAATTTATTTGCATATGTGTTGAGAAAGTATCTTAGGAAGTTTTTAAAATGAGGTTTTTCTTGATTCATACAAAAAATTTCAAAGCACTGTTTTAAATACACAGTATAATTTATACTTTTCATTCAACATTCTGAATATACAAACCATAGATGTTTGCAAATGTGGAAAGGGTATACACAGAACCTATGCTAGGTAAGCTTCCTCCAGTCTCTGCTTTGTTAAGGTGCATTAGTTCAATTGCTGAGCTGTGACTGCAGTGATGGAGATGGGTGAGTCCTGCTCTTCCTGGGTCAGGAAGAATTAGGTCTTTCTGTTAGCCCCACTGATCCTTTGTTCAAGAAGCAAACTAATGGATCTTCTCTAATTCTCATTTTAGGTGTAAGATAAACTATAAACTTCAAGATAATATACATCATCCCGCTAGCTGCCCTGTGGATGGGGGAATGTGTGGTCACTGATTTTGTAGGCCCCATTCGGGCCAGGAAATCCATTCTCCTGGGATGGCCCATGGAGAATTTTGTGGCCACCTTTCGGTAAGACCCATAACTTGGTCTTGTGCTGATGTGAGCTGGCTGTGAACATAGTCATCTTCATAATTGTCCAACAAAATTGAAAATGTAGATGAAAATTCTTTTTACTAGAACAGTTATTTTTTTCAAGACAGAGTTTTTCTGTAGCTTTGGAGCCTGTCCTGGAACTTGCTATTGTAGACCAGGTTGGCCTCAAACTCAGAAATATCCACCTGCCGCTGCCTCTTGAGTGCTGGGTTTAAAGGTGTGCACCACCGTTGCCCAGCTTAACTGGAACGTTTTAAGAGCAGGAAATTGTTTTATCCAGTTGTAAACACAGTCAAGTCTCTTTCTAACCTGATGTTTTGACACTTGGCTTGTGTAGTATTTACCTCCTGAAAGCTACCTACACGGAAAAAGTCCAAATGGATCAAGGGTTGGTAGTACTGACGTCCATTCTAAAATATAAATTCTAGTTTTGTCAGACTCTCAACATCCTTGTGTCAGGGGTGAGAGGGATCCTCAGGTACTGTGGAAGGAAGCTGAGTGAGTGAGTAATTGTCCTCCTTGCCATATTGTTCCAACAACAATCTGATGTTATGTTTAGTAAAATTACGTGAGTATGTATTTTAAATACTATTGAGCAGGCAAGTTAGTTTTTAAAGTTTTTTAATACTACCAAATTAGCATTGTTTTGTTATATAAAAAGATAATTACACTATAAAATCTGTTGTTCCTGAATGTCTCTGTAGCAGGTTGTCAGCCTTAGTACATGTAAAGAATAAATACTCCATAAAGTATTCAACCTAATCTGTTTTTGCAATTTGCCTAAAGCAGTAAAATAATGTGCCTGAAACTTCTCTAAAATATATTATTTCTCACGCAAGTGTTCCATACATCCTTATATTTCCTGAAATATGATTTAATCTAATACAAGTAATGTATTTTTGTGTTGAAAAGATATACAACCAGTGAGACTGTTTTGAGACAGCTGCCCATTTAACTGTGGGGTTCCTGAAGCTTAGAAAAGTTGTTTTGCCTGCTTGAGATTAGAAAGCGTGGACCATGCCGTCTGTCCCTTGTCATCACTGTAAGGACATCTGTAAATGACAGGTCTGACAGAAACTCTTGTAGGAGAAGAATTCCTATAAATTTACACGTGCTGGTAACTATTGTACACTAATATTTTGGTCATGATACATACCCTTAGAATCAAGCAGTTAATATTTTTCTTAATTTAATCTTCTTACTTTTTATATTGCAGTTCCTCAGCTCAAAAAAGAGAGTGGTGCAATTTGCTTCAGAGGTAACATATTTTACTTCTTTAATGCAATATGAAAGAATGAGATTCTCAGCAACCCAACAGCTTTTTCTTTTTATATCTTTGAGAATCTTGTTTTAAGCATATGATTAAAAAATTTACCCACCCACCTCTTCCCAGATCCAGCCCTTTCCCTGTTGACTATGCATTGTGTCCTTTTTCATAATAATACATTCTGATCATATTTTTCCTCCCCATTTCCTCCAAGATTCTTCATATACTCAGCTTTAGGTTCTTTTTCACTCCCTTTCTCTTTCCACACAAACAAACAAACAAACAATTCAAAACCAAGAAACAATCACTTCAGCCAAAATAGGTACACACACTCTACTACATAAACAAAAACAAAAGCAAAAAGCCATGAAGGCAAAATGCCAAAACAAAGTAAAATGATTGAGTGTATTTTGCAATGGCCTACTGTTCCCTGCCATACGTCCTGTCCTGGTGTGTGACTGACACTGTCACTAACATTCCACTGAAGAAAATTGGTTCTCCTTTTGCCAGTTGGTGCAAATAGCAGTAGGCTTTCTGGTTATGGGTGGGAGTTTGTATCTAATTCTCCTTCTCAGTCCTGACGTGCCCTCATGCTTGAACCTGTTAGGTCTTCTGCCTGCTCTCACTGTCTCCGTGTATTCGTGTGTTCATCAGCCCTGTTGTGATGGAGGAACTGTTCCTGAGTCTTCATTCACCTCTGATTTTCCATTCTTTCTGTCTCTCATCTCCAAAAATCCTTGGGCCATGAAGGGAAGAAGGTCTTGCTCTGAAGTGTCTCACTTTCTGGACATTTTCTAGTTGGACATCTCTTTCTTACTTACAATATACTTCAGGAAGAAGCTTTTCTGATGAGTATCGACTGATGCGCTGCCATAATGTATAGCAACAAGCCACTAGGGGGCATGTTATGTTCCTGTAGCAAAGTAATAGTAGTCGATTTCCCTCAAGGCTTATCTAGTCTCAGATTCTGACTACTTTACCAGTGACATTTGTGGGTAAAATCTTGACTAAGGTCGAAAGCAATCAGAAGTGGTTAGTTATTATCATCACACATGCCCCTATTGCCCCAGTATATCTTCCAGGCAGGTCACAGTGTAGACTGCGGAGATCATAGCTGGGTGCTTTTGAGGATTACCCGTGACTCTAATGGTATGCATTACCCATATTTCTTCTTTCAGATTCAGGGTATCTGTTCTTATGTTAATATTTTGAGTTTAAGTTTGGGCAGGGCAATGAATCTGATTCTCTGATTGGCCTAGTATCATTTGTTGAAGATGCTGTCTTTTATTTCAGTGTGTGTTTTTGGGTACTTTGTGAAAAAGCAGATTCTGTAGGTGTGTTGACATATGTCTGGATATTAACTTCAAGTTCATGGATCAAGATGTCTACTTTTATGCCAATATGAAGAGAAGAAATCTCCAGGCCATGTAGATTTTGTGGAGGGAGCAGATCCTGAATGCAGGCTGCAACAAGACTAAGTGTAGTCTACCCAGATTGGAATGAAAGAGGTGGTAGGATCCTGGGTTTGTACCAAGTGGTGGAGTCCCCAGAGGTTGGAGGTAGGCTGGGGGAAGGACGCCCAAGGGCCAGCAGACTCAATTGTGTCCATTAAAAAAGTCATTCAAGACCTAGTGTATATGAGTGTTCTACACAATAACTTTCATGGCTTCTTTGATAGCCTTTAGTGTTATTTATCTTTCTCATACTTTTCTTTCTACATTTCCTTCAGCTTCCCACCCATTTCACCATTCCTGACTCATTATTCTCTATAACCCAATACTAGAATGTGCTATTTCTCTACCCTAGAACAAGTGTTTCTATTACCCCGTCATAATTTTCTGATCTCCAACAATATTTTGAATTAGCCATGCATATCTGAAGAGGTTTACATATGGCTTTTTTTTCTGTCAGAGTTTGACTTAACTTACTCAAAATGGTTGTTTCCCGACCTATGAATTTATATCTGAAGTTCAAATTTTCATTCCTCTCAATCGCTGAGTAGTACTGCATTGTGAAAATGCACCACGTTTTTCATATCAATTCTTCATTTGAGGAACATCTGGACTTTTTTTCTATTAAGAGGTGAGTAGAGATGAACATTCATGAGCAGGTTTCTAGAGAGTAAGTTACAAAGTCCAGGTTTATGTGAAAGAGGAGTATAGTTAAATCATGTGACAGGTTTACTTCTTTCTTTTTGAGAAACTTACACACCAGTTTCCATAGAGGTTGTATGGATTTGCTTCCCCACCAGGAGTGAATAAGTTTTTTCAATTTCCAACTTTTGCATCAGGATTTGTCATCCTTCGAATTCTTTATATAGCCATACTGTTTCAGGCAAGATGAAACTTAAAATAATGTTAATTTTTATATTTTAGGTGGATAATGATGTTAAAATTTAAAAAGTGTTTTTCTTTGTATGACATCTTTTGAGAACTCTTTTTGTCTATACCCCAATTTTTATTTGAGTCACTTTCTTAATGTTTAATTTTTATTTTAGTTCTTTATAAATTCTAGACACTTACTCTGTGACAATTGATAAAGACATTTTCTCATTCTGTAGGCTGCCTCTTTGCTCAATTGATCCTGTCTTTTGCCTTACAGAAACATCTTAGTTTCATGAGGTCTGAATTATTAGTTGTCAGTTTTTATGTCTGCACTGTTGGCATCCTGTTCAGTCAGTACTTTCCTGTGTCAGTGACTTTGAGTTTATTTCCCAGTTTTCTCCTATATACTATCCAGGCTATTGGAGAGTTTTGTGTAGTGTGAGAGGTAAGGATCAAATTTTATTCTTCTACCTGTAGCAACTCGGTTTAATTGCACTATTTATTGAAGATGCTGAATCTTCTCCTAGTATATGGCTGGCTTCCTTGTCAAAAATCAGGACACTGAAGGAATGTGGACTTAATGAAGGCCTACGTTCTATTCCTTTGATAAGTGACGGATTTTCTGACAGTGCAATTTCGTATGCATTATTGCACCGCAGCATAACTTGAAATCTGCATGGTGATACTCCAGCTTGTTTGTTGTTGGTTTTGATGATGCTTAATTTTTGTTTTTTTTCTTGATAGTCATTGCATTTTTTATGAACGTCAAGAAAGATTTTTAATTTCTGTGAAAATATTTCTTGGTATTTAGAAGGCAATACATTGAAAACATGATGCATAGCCATTTTTTCAACATTTATTCTGCCAGTCCATTAGCATGGGAGGTCTTTCCATATGCTGGCATATTCAATTACTTTCTTCTGTGTTTTAAATATTTTATTGCACAAATCACTCATTTTTTGGTTAGATCTATTTAAAGTTTTGTTTTGTTTTATGTGACTATTGAGAATGGAATTGTCTTCTTGATTCTTCCTTGTGTTTGTCATTTTTATTTAAGAGGATGCTGATTGCTGTATTTTAATTCTGTGTCCTGCCACTTTTCTGAATATTAGCTCTAAGATTTTCTCATGTACTTTAGGTTTTAATGCATAGAACTGTATCATCTGGAAATAAATATATCTTGACTTCTTCCTTTCTTGGTTGTATCTGCTTCATCTCCCTTACTTGTTTTATTGCCCTAGATAGTAGAAGCGAGAAGAATGAACTGATCTTTTTCCTGATTTTAGTACAAACATTCGCGTTTCTTCTCTCTTTTAGGATGATTTTGACTGTGGGTTTCCTGTATATGCCTTCCTTATGTTGAAACATCTCCCTTCTGTCCCTATGCTCTCCATGACTTTTTATCACAAATAGTTACTATATTTAGTCAAAGGTCTTTTATGAATCAAATGGTGTTATCATCATTCTATCCTTTAGTCCATGAGTGTGGAGGATTATTTTTTTAAATTTACATATGTTGACCCTTTCTTCCGCCTCTGTTATGAATTTGACTTGAACATAATGTGAAATCTGTTTGTGTTATTGAATTTGGCCTGGAAGTATTTAATTAACATTTTTTGGATATATGTTTATTAGAGGCTTTGGTCTACAATTTTCCTTTTGGGTGTTTGCTGTTTGGTTTTGATCTCTGGTTTAGACTATCTTCAGATAATTTCTTGTTAATGTTTCCTGGATGTTTTTGGAATTTCTCACTTTTCAAAATGAGGAAGAGCTGGCTGACGTTTTCATACATTCATTCTTCAACCTTTATGTGAAATCAAACAGCATTCTGGACATAATATCAATTCATTATCAATAAAGTTACTTTACTATGTGCACTCAAAGGAAATACTGCTTCTTGATTTTGGACCATGTATGATCATGATCCATCTACTGTGGGCACTAATGTTTTCAGAACCAAATCTGCTTCCTAAACATCACACTTTAGGGCAACCTGCTATTATTTCTTGTAATGTTCCCTGTTTTGCAAAACAGACTCACTCTAAAACTAAAATTTTGATAGCATATCCTTTATTAACATCAAAACAAACACTAGACAATTTCACTTTTTTATGTGTTTTTATTGAATTTGATCAGATCCATTGATGAACATAAGAAGAAAGACCATGGAAAGAGAATCACACTTGAGATACTCACAGAGGACATCCCCAGCTGGAATACAAAGACAAAGACCAATATTTCATTGCCTGAAACTGACTGAGGGAGGGAAAGGGCAAGGGAGGGGAAACAGGAGGAAATTTGAAGATAAGGCTGATGACAGAGGGTGAGGAAAAGGGAGGTAAAGATTTAGGCAGGGTCCACAGCTTGATTAGACTGAAGATTGCTATGGTCTTCACATAGCAGGTATCCCAAACTCAAGTATTATTAGATTTAGTCCATAGGCATGGTTTCCAAGTCAATACCAGCTTCATTTCCCTTTTGTTTTGTGACACAAGTACAAAGTATCTTCAGCCATAGGGATTTGCAATCATTCCTGAATAGTAACCAAAAACCATGACAATAGCCTAATATTTCAAGGTGTATGGAGCCCCACTGTGCAACAATTCCAGAAGTCATCGATTCTTTGACCTTTGAGTTTTATTTTTTGCCTATCAGATGCAGCATGCTCATTTCCACAAAATTAATGTCAGATACTAGACTGTGAAAGGATTTCCCTTTAGCACTGACCACTTCTTCTAGAGAGAGGCATCTCTGCTGTTCTTCTCTAAGAGCTGTTTTTCACAGGATACCATCCACAAGTGCAGATCCATGTGCTTTCAAAAATCTGTTCTGGAAATAACTTTCTCTTTCTTTGGACATTTTCTAATTTTAGAGTGTAGTAGATATCTCATCCCAAAGAGACCTTAGTCACTGGCAGATTTAGGGATGGAATTTTGATTACTAAATTTTTTATTCTGGATTCATACATGCATCATCTTAATGGATTTCAGGGCCAACCACACTGGTCATGGAGCCAGGTGCAGAGAAGTCCTCACTGCACAGCTGCTGTTGTAAATTCTGCTGCAGTTTATATGAATATATAAAAATAGAATACATGATATGTAATGAAATCTATTCTGTAAAAACATTGTATGAAAGCAAGAAAATGTTTCCCCATCTCTTCAAATGACCAACCACCCATTGGGAAAGCAGACTCTACTAAGGATTAGAGGCTGTATGTCCTTTCAGAAAATATATTCTGGATGTTCGGCCTTTATATCTGTATATGCGTGCATGCATATGTGTGTGTGCATGTGTACGTGCTTGTTTGCATGCATATGTGTGCACATGTAAACATGAATGCTTGTATTTGTGTTTGTGTGGTATATAATTCAGAGACAGCTACAATTGATTCTCTCATTATACCATGTGTACTCTGGATTCTGTTCCCTGTCATAGGGCCTAGGGGAAAGCACTTTTGTTTTACCACCCCTCCCCCATAATCCAGTCCATCAGTTCACATCTTATTATACTTTGACTGATCCAAATCCTGACAGGGATACAGGTTAGACTAAATTTCCTATTACTGCCCTCAGGTCTTTTAAAGGAAAGGAAAAACATACTAATGTTTCAAGCCTTATATGTGTTTTACTTTGCCATTACCTGAAATGAGCTTTGGTTACATGATGTGGAAAATGTTTGGATAAACAGCTATCAAATCATGTATTTCATGAGCATTATTAACTAATAACATTTTTCTCTGTGTTTTCTACAGTCATTCACTGTAACAGCAACACGATCAGACACAGTGAATGACATCATCAAGAAGTTAAGACCGTTGCTGGGAATACCTCTAAGAGACTCAAACACTCTTTCTATTCATTCTATGCCTCCTTGTGATCCATTAATATTTAAATAAGTGCATAAATCACTGTCTAATACAAGATTACTCTATATGTGAAAAATTACCATCTTTTTCCAAATTTCAGATGTGAAGTCAGCTGGCTCGTTATATTAGTCTACATACAGCCTCTGCTCTTGTCTTCTCCCATGAAATTTGATCTCAATGATCAGCATGTGTAGTGCATTACTACCAGTGCACAACAAACAATGTTTGTTGCATATGTAAATGCATATATAATGAATTTTTTGTAATGTGTGTTTATACCCAATGAGCATAATTTGTAAAGTTTCTAATACAAGTCACTAGATATCTTTTAGTGCCATTTTTAAATATTTTCTTTGTCATGCAGACATTTTTTTAAAGATTTATTTATTATATACACAGTATTCCATCTACACACCAGAAGAGGGCACCAAATCTCATTATCGATGGTTGTGAGCCACCATGTGGTTGCTGGGAATTGAACTCGGGTCCTCTGGAAGAACAGCCAATGCTCTTAAACTCTGAGCCATCCCTCCAGGCCCCTATGTAGACATTTTTGATACTGACTTATTTATTATGGACAAAGTTTCAAATTAATAATTATATCATGACCGGTTTGATATATAGTTTTATCTAGAATATGTCAAAGAGCTATATCCTGTGAATATTTGTATCAAGAAGCTAATAGAAAATTCATAAAATAACTCATAAAGAGGGAAACATGTTTTGAAAATGACTTTGAATGTAGGGCATTCATTCATTCAATTTTAGTGTGTGAGTATGTGTGTGTATACATATGTTTGTAGGAGTGCACTTCCTAAGAATCATAATATCATAAATGGTATCACTACAAGTAGAGGTCATTATTTTCTATCAGTAACCAGAAGTAAACAAGGTATTCATAAGCCATAACTTTATTTAATGCATTCTTCTTTGGTATCTCATCTGACTATCTTAATTCAATAGATGCCAAATACTTTAAATTGGCTTTTTATATGGATCCCAAAGTCATGGGGGTATTAAATCTGTTGCGGATATTGCTTTATACTTCTGGATTATTATGAAGCTTAGCTACTTGTCCTTTCTGTATGTAGGATGGGGATTCTCTGAATGACGTTTAAATGTTGATTTTGTGTTCTATTGTCCTCCAGGCCTCTCTAGTCTTTCTCTTCTTTACTTGGGTTGCTGAGGTTCCAAGGCTTATAAGTTCAGCTTTGCTCAGTCATCATAGATATGGTGGGCATAAGTACACTGTAATAATAATAAGTACAGAAACATGGGTAATAAGTTGTCTGGACAGGAACACATTATGACAAAACTCAATGTTCTCCAAAGTTTGAGGGACGTGGATGACAGAGACAATTATCATGCTGGGAGAGAGGGCCTAGAGTGATCTCTTATTCCCATTGTCACAAATATGTAGCAGAAACCATACATTTTGCATACACATTCTGATATACCAGCAATGAGAAGCTAGAAATTTCGATTTTCTGCTGATTGCAGAAAGAGCAGGTACTTGGGACTCACCACTGTTAATTCCCAATGGCAGACTCCTACATAGACCAGAATTGTTGCCTGCCTCAATATATTCCAATTTTAGGGATGCAGAAGAGGAAGAAAATATGCACTTCAACTGTGTCCTGGGAAAGTACAGCGTAACTTTGGGTTCTTTTGTTCCCCAGAATGCTGAGGAAGATTATCAACTGTGGTTCTCTGCTAGCCAGGAAGAAGCACCAGGCCCACTCCAGGGTAAGCACCTGAGAAATATAAGCAGGCATTGAGTTAAGACTGTAACCCTAAATTGTTCAAGTTTTCATTGATTTTCTTAAGTTTAAATATTCATAAATGCAAACATTATACAAAATGTTCTTTCATGCATTTAAACAATACAATATTTGAGAATTTCATACATAAATAGTGTATTTACATCATTTCTGTTCCTCCTTTTGGCCCTGTCATCTCTTTGTACCTTTTTCTTAGTCCCCTTCAATTTTATAACTGTTTAAAATTAATCTTACTCCTTTGTTTCTTTGTTTATTTGGTTGGCTGTGTGTGTGGGCTTGTGTGTGTAAGGCAAAAAGAAAAAGCACATTTATTGTGTCTCATATGGGTGTGTGTTTAGAGATGAGCAATTGGGACAGAAAATCCCCTAGTAGTTGGTCCATCCCTGGGGAAGTCAGATTCTCCTCCCTCTGAGAAGCCACTGACTGTTTTTAGCTCTTCATCTAAGGGTGGGGCCTTGTGAGATCTCCCCACCCACAGTGGCTGTTCAATTGGTGCTGCCAGTGTTTGAGTCTCATTTAAGGAATTATATTGTTGAGATTTCAGGTGTGCAGCTTCCCTCTCATCCACTGAAGACAGAATCTCCTAGAAAAGATCCTGGTTCTCTGCCTCTCACAAGCTTTCTTCCTACTCCCCCAGGATGCTGTCCAACCTTAGGTACAACAATTGCACTATAGATGTACCAATGGAGCTGTGGACTCTACAAACACTTATTCTCTGACTGGCTGTGGATTGCAACTTATCGTAAGCTCTCTGCATGCAACAATATCTGATCAGTCCAAAGATCTAAGAGCCAGAGGAGAGTGCAGCTCCTTTCAATGTGTGCTCATGCTCACAAAAAGGACTGTTTGGTCATTAATCACTGTTAGTATTAATCTATACTTAGTATTTTCTCTACATAGGTCATGAGAACCCATATGCCATCAGAATGAGTGACCTTCGAAATTCTGCCTTTGTGGCAGTGGGGCCAAGTGACTACACTGGTTATCTTGATATCAGCAAGGCAATCCGGGAGCTACAGTCCCCACATGTGTCAGGATTATTCATCCTGAAGCCCAAAGACCCACCCAAAGACCAGAGCAGTGAGTCTCCTACCTTCTAGTTTTTTATTTTACAGGTTCTTAAATTCTACCATTCCTATTTCCCAAGAGTAATTCCCTTGTGACCTCACTGTTGTTTCTTTATGTAATGAAAACATATCGTCAATTAGGGAAGTAAATATGAAAGAAAAGAAATTGTACTAAAGATGCTTGGTTGTGATTGTTACTGTGTGTGTGCATCCAGCTATTTTTTGCTTGATTAACATAACAGTTTTTTGGTATACATGTTATTTGTGTCATAATCAATTTGACAACACTTTATAGAAATTCATTATATGATACTAACCTCATAACAGAAAGCAATACACTGTTAGGAGTTATAGTTTTGGTATTTTAAAATTCTTTAATAAGACTGTGTTTGGAACAGTAAGCATAAAAACTAAATGTGAATGACAGAGAAAACAAAAGACCCAATAAAAAAAATCACTTCCTCTAAACAGTTGTAAAATCATCTGATTACATTTTTTTCAAACAGAAAGGCTCTAAGGGAATCAGAATACCATGCTTGTTATATATGATAAGAAGTTACATTATTTTAGACACACTTAGAAGGGGAAACTAGATCCCTGTCAATTTGTGTGTTCTTTGTGATATCAGTCTCTCTGGGTTTCTTTATTTGTTTTGTGACAGGGTTTCTCTTTGTGACTGCCTGGCTATCCAGGAACTCTCTTTATAGACCAGGTTGCCTGAACTCATAGAGATACAAATGCCCCCGCCTTCTTAATACTGGGATAAGAAGCCTGTGCACTGCTCTCTCCTGATTACTTTCTTTTCTTTTCTTTTTTAATTCTTTTTTTTCGAGACAGAATTTTTCTGTAGCTTTTGAGCCTGGCCTGGAAGTAGCTATTGTAGACCAGGATGGCCTTGAACTCACAGAGATCCATCTGTTTCTGCTGAAATTAAAGGTATGCACCACCAATGCCTGGTTTATCTCCTGATTTCTAATGAATGTTTGTTTGACAGGGCTGGAGCTACAAAAAGGGATGACAGACTTAAACAAAGTGGGAGGTATTAAAAGGGCAAATGAAGTTACTGGAGAGGTTCCTCTGAGATTCAGAGCACTGGCTGCTCTTTCAGAGGATGCAAGTTCAATTCCTGATTACCACGTGTCAGCTCATAGCCCTCTGTAATGAGTTCTGGAGCTTCTATTTGGTGCCCTCTTCTGGGACACAAGCACACATGCAGGTAGAAAGCAGTATATAGTAAATAAATACATTTTTGTAAAAAGGTGAATCAAATTAATCATTGCAAACTTTTATCAATCTTCCTTGGTTAAGAACAAAGTCTAAATATATTTTTTTTTCCGTCAGTTTATCAGAGGCCACTTCGTAGGCGCTAGCATGAGTGGAGCATGCCATATTCATAAAGAAAAGCACAAATACAACATCTTTTGTTATTTTTTTACTTCTTTTTGTTTTGTTTATAAAATATTTCCACTTCCTTTCCTCCTCCCAATACCCTCCCACTCCCCCCACTCCCTCTCCCCCTCCCTCTCCAGTCCTAAGAGCATTCAGGGTTTCCTGCCTTGTGGTAAGTCCAAGGTCCTCCCCCATCTCTCCAGGTCTAGGATGGTGAGCATCCACACAGACTAGGCTCCCACAAGGCCAGTCCATGCAGTACAATCAAAACTCAGTGCCATTGTCCTTGGCTTCTCAGTCAGCCCTCATTGTCAGCCACATTCAGAGAGTCCAGTTTTATCACATGCTCCATCAGTCCCAGTCCAGCTGGCCTTGGTGAGCTCTCATTAGATCAGTCCCATTGTCTCAGTGGGTGGACACATCCCTTGCTGTCCTAACTTTCTTGTACATGTTCTCCCTCCTTCAGCTCCTCATTTGGACCTTGGGAGCTCAGTTCAGTGCTCCAATGTGGGTCTCTGTCTCTTTCTCCATCCATTGCTGGAAGAAGGTTCTATGGTGATGTGCAAGATATTCATCAATGTGGCTATAGGATAAGGCAAGTTCAGGCACCCTCTCCTCTGCTGCCCATGGAACTAGTTGGGGAAATCCCTGCCCCCATCCCCCAAGCCTGCCCTATTGTCTGTATGATCCTTGGCCCAGGAACAGTTCCTGCTCCTGCACTGACACTACCCACCCGGAGGGGCAAGTGCACAAAATTATAGAAGAAAACTTTCCCAACCTAAAGAAAGATATGCCTATGAAGATACAAGAAGCATACAGAACTCCAAATAGACTGGATCCAAAAAAAAGAATCCCCTCGCCTTATAATAATCAAATACAAAACATACAGAATAAAGAGCGAATATTAAGAGCTGCAAGGGAAAAAAGTCAAGTAACACATTAAGGGAAACCTATTAAATTACACCTGACTTCTCAATCAAAACCATAGATGTGCTGCAGACTTTAAGAGACCAGGCATGCAAACCCAGACTACTATATCGAGCAAAGCTTGCATTCACCATCGATGGAGAAAACAAGATATTCCAGGACAAAACAAATTTAAACAATACATTGCCATAATCCAGCGTTACAGAAAATACTAGAAGGAAAACCGCAAACCAAGGAAGCAAACACTCATCTAACAACCCTCCACCAGCACAGCTCAAAGAAAGGAAACACACAAATTCTACCACCAGAAAAATAACCGGAATTAACAAGCACTGGTTATTAATATCACTTAATATCAATGGACTCAATTCAACTATAAAAAGGCACAGGTTAAGAGAATGGATACGAAAACAGGATCCAACATTCTGCTGTTTACAAGAAACACACCTCAAACTCAAAGACAGACACTACTTCAGAGTAAAGGGTTGGGAAAAGGATTTCCAATCAAATGGTCCAAAGAAACAAGTGGGTGTGGCTATACTAATATCTAATAAAATTGACTTCAAACTAAAATCAATTAGAAGAGATGGAGAAGGACACCTTATTCTCATAACAAGAACAATTCATCAGGAGGAAGTCTCAATTCTGAATATTTATGCTTCTAATATAAAAGCACCCACATATGTAAAAGAAACATTACTAGAACTCAAAGCATACATCAAACCCCACACTCTAATAGTAGGAGATTTCAACACTCCTCTCTCTTCAAAGGTCAACCGCAGGTCAATCAGAGAGAAACTAAACAGAAATAAGAGATCTAACAGATGTAATTAACCAAATGGACTTAACAGACGTCTATAGAACATTCCACCCAAACCTAAAAGAATATACCTTCTTCTCAGCATTTCATGAAACCTTCTCAAAAATTGATCACATAAATGGTAACAAAGCAAACATCCACAAATACAAAGAAATTGTAGTAACTACCTATGTACTATCGGATCACCATGGAATAAAGTTAGAATTCAACAACAATTCTACCCCCAGAAAGCCCACAACTCATGGAAACTGAACAGTCAATAACTGAACCATCCCTGGGTCAGGGAAGAAATAAAGAAATTAAAGTCTTCCTTGAATTTAATGAAAATAAAGACAGAACATACTCAAGTCTATGGGACACTATGAAAGCAGTGCTAAGAGGAAAGTTCATAGCTCTAAGTGCCCACATAAAGAAAACAGAAAAAGCACAAATTGAAGACTTAACAGCACACCTGAAAGCTCTAGAAAAAAAGAAGCAGACTCACCCAGGAGGAGTAGAAGACTGGAAATAATCAAACTGAGAGCTGAAATCAACAAAATAGAAACACAGAAAACAATCCAAAGAATCAATGAAACAAAAAGCTGGTTCTTTGAAAAAATCAACAAGATTGACAAACCCCTATCCAAACTAATCAAATGGAAGAGAGAGAACACAAAAATTAATAAGATCAGAAATGAAAAAGGGGACATAACCACAAACAAAGAGGAAATTCAGAGAATCATTAGATCTTACTACAAAAGCCTGTATGCCACAAAATTGAAAAATTTAAAAGAAATGGACATTTTTAAAGCCGAGTACCATATAACAAAGTTGAACCAAGACCAGGTGAACAATCTAAATAGACCTGTTAGTCGCGAAGAATTAGAAGCTGTTATCAAAAACCTCCCTACCAAAATAGCCTAGGGCCAGATGGTTTCAATGCAGAATTCTACCAGAACTTCCAATAAGAGCTAATACCTATACTTTTAATGTATTTTACAATACAGAAACAGAAGAGTCATTGCCAAACTCTTTTTATGAAGCTACAGTTACCCTGATACCAAAAATGACACAACCAAGAAAGAAAATTACAGGCCAATCTCACTAGTGAATATCGAGGCAAAAATTCTCAATAAAATGCTGGCAAACCGATTCCAAGAACACATTAGAAAAATTATCCATCATGATCAAGTAGGCTTTATCCCATAAATGCAGGACTGTTTCAACATATGCAAATCTATCAATGTAATCCATCATATAAATAAACTGAAAGCAAAAAACCATATGATCATTTCATTAGATGCTGAAAAAACATTAGACAAAATTCAACACTCCTTTATGATAAAGGTCTTGGAGAGATTAGGGATACAAGGTTCATACCTCAGTATAATAAAAGCTATATATAGCAAGCCGATGGCTAACATCAAATTAAATGGAGAGAAACTCAAAACCATTCTACTAAAATCAGGAATAAAATAAGGCTGTCCACTCTTTCCATACCTCTTCAATATAGTACTTGAAGTTCTGGCAATAGCAATAAGACAGCATAAGGAGATCAAGGGGATTAAAATTGGAAAGAGAGAAGTTAAACTTTCGTTATTTGCAGATGATATGATAGTGTACATAAGGGACCTCAAAAACTACCAAAGAACTCCTACAGCTGATTAAACACCTTTAGTACTGTGGCAGTATACAAGATCAACTCCAAATACAACATCTTAACTGCTCTGAAAATGCCAATTATTTCTTGTAAGATCAGGGGTCTTCATTTGGGGACCTGATGGTTTCACTCCACCCATTCAACACCAGAGACTAGAGATGACTGTGTCTTTTGGATTCCATATCTTCCTTCAGTGTCCTAGAGGATTTATGACAGCAAATCAAGCTAATTTTCATTC